CTGGTCCTGGAGGCACCCCAACACTGCACATTTTGCATGTCTCCTTTTTCTGACACACCAGTTTCAGGTTTGGAGTCTACTAATGAGCTGATTACCTGAATGAGGTGTGTTTGATTAAGGAGACATGCAAAATGTGCAGTGTTGGGGTGCCTCCGGGACCAGGGTTGGGAATCACTGATATAGAACATTGGTAATTCAAAGTGCTTTACAATTAAAAAAAAAAAAATCACAACATAATGATTAAAGGGTTACTCCACCCCAAAATGAAAATTTTGTCATTAATCACTTACCCCCATGTCATTCCATACCCGTAAAAGCTTCATTCGTCTTCGGAACACAATTTAAGATATTTTGGATGAAAACCGGGAGGCCTGAAACTGTCCCATTGACTGCCTAGTAAATTAATTATTTAGTCCATCTGCCATCAGTGGTTCAACCGTAACGTTATGAAGCGACGAGAATACTTTTTGTATGCGAAGAAAACAAAAATAACGACTTTATTCAACAATTTGTCTCCTCTGTGTCTCACCGTAGCGCCATTTTAGAGAATATCCGTTAAATGCAAGCAGCGTACGCTCTTCTGTGTCGGCCGCGCTGCACGGATGCGATGTTTTCTTTCAAATCAAAGCGTAAATACACGTAGAAAACGCATCCTTGTGTCGCGGCTGACACAGAAGAGCGTATGCTGCTTGCGTTCAGCGGATATTCTCCAAAATGGCACTACGTTGATGCAGAGAGACACAGAGGAGACAAATTGTTGAATAAAGTCGTTATTTTTGTTTTCTTTGTGTACAAAAAGTATTCTCGTCGCTTCATAATTTTGTATGCGAAGAAAACAAAAATAACGACTTTATTCAACAATTTGTCTCCTCTGTGTCTCACCGTAGCGCCATTTTGGAGAATATCCGTTAAATGCAAGCAGCGTACGCTCTTCTGTGTCAGCTGCGCTGCACGGATGCGATGTTTTCTTTCAAATCAAAGCGTAAATACACATAGAAAACGCATCCTTGTGTCGCGGCTGACACAGAAGAGCGTATGCTGCTTGCATTCAGCGGATATTCTCCAAAATGGCACTACGGTGATGCAGAGAGACACAGAGGAGACAAATTGTTGAATAAAGTCATTATTTTTGTTTTCTTTGTGTACAAAAAGTATTCTCGTCGCTTCATAACGTTACGGTTGAACCACTGATGGCAGATGGACTATTCTGACGATGCTTTTCATACTTTTCTGGATCTTGACAGTGTTATTTATTTGGCAGTCAATGGGACAAGCCTCCCGGTTTTCCAAAATATCTTAAATTGTGTTCCGAAGACGAACAAAGCTTTTACGGGTTTAACGACATGGGGGTAAGTGATTAATGACCAAATTTTCATTTTGGGGTAGAGTAACCCTTTAAGTTGATAATAACAGATGGTTAAGAAATAAAATTGAAAAAAATAAAGATTCTTGTTAAAAAAAATATTTAAAATATAATAAAAAAATAAGTTAATCCAAAATGTAATTATGGTACACAAGGAGTAAAACTATTTTCTGTTTTTTTTCTCCACACTTTTGCCTTGGTCATAGGAACCATTTTTCTTTATTTTTTTCTTTAAAAACCCCAAAGAAAAAGAAAAATGGTTCCTATGATCATCATCATGTGCTATATTCAAAAACAGTTTTATGTGTATATTGTGCATACATAACAGATGATTAAGAAATACAATTAACAATAAAAAGTAAAAAAGATTCTCAGAAATAATTTATTTAAGATATAATAATGAAAAATAAGAAAAGAGTATATATACTGTATATACACATTGTATATGTGTGTGTGAGTGTGTGTGTGTGTGTGTGTGTGTATATATATATATATATATATATATATATATTTGAATTATTGATTAAATTAGGGTGAATGGTGAATAATTTTATTTTGTTGATGGTATGTTTTATCACTTTCACCAGGTGGCCCCTGATTTTTTTGAGTACTTCAGAGCACTTCATCCAGTTTTAAAATCAGACCCGACTCTGTGGTGCGTGTCTGCCTGGAATGACAATGGCAGGGAAGGATTTGTGGACCCTGGAAAAGCGAGCTTGCTGTACAGGACAGATTTTTTCCCAGGCTTGGGCTGGATGTTCACAAAGGACCTCTGGGCAGAGCTTGAGCCAAAATGGCCGGCCTCGTTTTGGGACGACTGGATGCGCCACCCCGATCAGCACAGAGACAGGTCCTGCATCAGACCAGAAATTTCCAGAACTTTAACATTCGGTTGGAAGGGTGTGAGTTCGGGGCAGTTTTACGACAAGTACCTCCGCTTTATTAAGCTCAATACCGAATTTGTGCCTTTTACAAAAATGGACCTTTCTTATTTAGAAAAGAAGAAATATGATGAGAGCTTTGAGAAGGAGGTTTACGGTGCTCCGGTTGTCACCGTGGAGGACTTGCAAAGTGGGAAACTGTCTGGGTCTGGCCCATTTCGGGTGCAGTATTCTAGTCCTGGCAGTTTTAAAACATTGGCTCGCAATCTTGGTGTGATGGATGACCTGAAGTCTGGAGTGCCACGAGCGGGGTATAGAGGTGTAGTTAGTTTCCTTTTACGTGGAAAGAGGGTCTATTTAGCTCCACCTGTAGGTTGGAGCCAGTATGATCCGAGCTGGAGTTGAAGAGGGCTGTGCCTACATCACAGGAATTTCGGTGCGAAGCACATGATCATTCCCTTCACATTGTCTTAAAATTCCATTGTGCTGCTTAATGATGGAAAAACCTCTAGTAGGGGTTTCAGAATAGAGATAATATGATACCAAATATAGCCTAATAACATGAATTGATCACTCAGACTTTTTGCTTCAGGTTTCATTATTTGTCTGTATAAAGTCAACTAGGATTTATGTGAGAACTTTGTCACGTCAGTCGCATCATTAAACTGACAGATTAAACCTAAATCTTATGCTGACCAGCTATGCACATTTTTCACGCAAAGTATATTTGTTCAGGAACTAAAAAAGAGGGTACATATGATTAAAAACACTTATTTTTAATACTGTGAATACTGCTCTAAGTGCCTATAAATGTATATATTTTTGATTCACCTCTGTGTACTGTCTTTAATAAATTGTGAATGGTTCATGGCATAGTGATTGGAATATGAAAAATCATTTGACACTTGATTGTTTTATTTATATACTGGGATATTTTGATTTTTTTTGTTTGTTAAATTTGATGACTCATTTATTGCTTATATAAATAAAAATGCTACTAAAAATAATACACCATCAAAAACAAGAGTGTTCATAACAACAGCAACAATATTTCAGTTCAGTCCTAAACACACAACATAAAGAATTTACATATACAAAGACATTCAAATAATGAAAACAGACTAATACAGAGCGTTTGTGAAAGAGAGAAATACAAATAAATAAAACAGTTTCACATTTCAATTGAACAAATACAATTGTATCTAGTTATTTTGTTAGCAATAGAATTAAGAGAGTCAGTAAAGAAATTCAACCATAAATAAACAGTTTAGAAATAAAAAATTTTCTTTTGTGTATGAAATTGACCAAATAAAAATTATAATTATTAGCCACACAAACAAGTCATTACATGCGTCACCAAAACGCTCCCACGCTATTACGTTTTTGTTGTTGTTGCAAAACATATACAATATATATATATATATATATATATATTTTGTTTATCTATTTTATTGGAACGGTTAATCGCATGTAATTTGCTACGTCAGGATTTTTTATTATTATTTTTTTTTTTGCTTTATTAATTCAATGCCACAAGAACATGAGGTATTACATATTCACATGATCAAATTAACATTATTAGCTGCCAGAGAAAAAAAAGAAGAAAAGAAAAAATGAAGAAAATTACATAAAGTTCAATGCTTTCAGAGCATTACATGTTTTCAGTGCTTTTTTGTTTTTTGTTTGTTCTAAGAGATTTACATATCATTTAAAGTCATTTATAAAATGTGCAAAATTTGGTTTACATTGAGCCCACGCAAAACATATACAATAAGGCAATACAAGATCCCACGATATTACGTTACACGAATGTTACCCAACGTTAACTACAGTAGCTCATTAGTCCTAAAGGGTTTCGTTTCGCGTTTTCTATTTACCTCGCTCCTGTATATCACATTTCGTGTTGTTGAATGGCGGAGGGAGTGCGATGTTAGCCATGGGGTAAAGCTGAGGCATATAAATGGACTTTTGGCGATTATTTGTCATGTAATCTTCATATTCGTCTTCAGTTTACCTTTCATGGCACTTTTAAACTCACCAAACCGGTTTATTTATTTGCTGGTAGTCATTTGCAGTAGCGAGCAAGCTAACAAACTAACGTTACCACAATAAGTAATAAAGGCAAAGACATTTAAAATATAGACAAGTGACGCTACGTCTCTGTTTCGCGTCCGATCGGGCAGGTTTCGTCTTGTTAATCTTCAACATTTGATCTCGGATTTACGGAGAGGCCTGTAAATGGATCCAGCGGTTTTGCGTGAAAGCCCTGCGGGTTCAGGAGCACCTTCAGTGGAGGAGAGCGGAGGAAATCAGCCGGAGGATAGCAGAGAAGCTGATGGGGAATCCGAGGAGACAGAGATGGAGAGAACTACATGTCAAGATGAAAACTCACTGCATGGAAAACTGACTGAGGAGGAATTAGATCCTAGAATCCAGGTAAACTGACACTTAGTCAGCACATTGTAGTAAGATCTCATACAACACTGTTGTAGTGATTTATTAATATTTTAAACTATTTTGATATAAAAAAACAAGCCCGCCAATAGCAGACTATTTATCAAAGCCTATTTAAAAAATGATTAACACATATTTGTCAGCTTTGTAGTCAGTTATGAATGTGTATGTGAATCAACATTGACTTTTCTAACTATTTGTATGTGCAATATAAATAAAAAAATGGCCAAGCATGTTTATTCTTTACTATTCTTTACATGTTTTATCTATTACTATTTTCATTTATTATTACGTCATCAGAATCATACATTATGTTTTCTTTGAAGAATCTAAAATATCTTTTATGTTCTTTTGAAGTCACCACCCTTTGCCTAGATTCTGCATCTGTGCGTTTTGGGCATTAATATTATAAAATAACTGATAATAATGTTAGTTATTATAAAGATTCACCAAAGGTATTTTCATGGGATTTATTGTAATCTCAGTAACTCTACAGTTGCTGGGTCACCCTTATTTTGGATTGAACCAGCAACTTTTAAGCCAGCAGCCAAGATCATTTACCATTAGTCGACTATGACCTGCTGTGTTTCTGTATCTAGGAGGAACTGGAGCGTCTGAATGAGGCCAGTGAGGAGATCAACAAGATGGAACTGGAACTGCAAGTACGTGAAAGTTCAGAATGCTTTTGGAAAAATTGTTCCCAACCTCAAGGACATTTGGGACTGTTAGGCTACATGCTTTTAAGTATATACCGGTACTTATTATTATGGCTCATTGTCATTTAATAGACACTTTTTAATTCAGTGTACAGGACTATAATCTCAGACAGGTAGACTGTACTTTGAATCAAACCTGCAATCTTTCTGCTACCAGCCCAGCTCAATAATTGAATTAGGCAACCACACCTTATGTTATATATCATCATTAAGAGATTATAATAATTTATTTTATATATATATATATACAGTGGGTACGGAAAGTATTCAGACCCCCTTAAATTTTCACTCTTTGTTATATTGCAGCCATTTGCTAAAATCATTTAAGTTCATTTATTTTCCTCATTAATGTACACACAGCACCCCATATTGACAGAAAAACTTTTGAATTAGTTTTGTTTTTTATTTTCCATTATAATTTTAAAGTTTTGAGTATTTTTAATGTTATTTGTTGTAATGTAATTTAGTTATATTATAATGTTTATATAATTTTTATTTTAGTTTGAGCACATCAAGATGAACTAAATTAGTTTTAGTTAACTATAATAACCTTACCACTACGCCATATTATGCAGATAAGATAAGGCTTATGATTCTCTCTTTCTTAGATGGCAAACAAGGTTAACACTCCTGATTTACACACTTTATTTTATTGTTATGAACTTGTTGTGAATGGTTTGTGTGATTTGTGAAACACTTTGTTTTTGTTGTCAGGAGGTTCGGTCCAGCCATAGGAGGATGATGAGTGAATCTGTGCTTAAACTCAAGGCGAAAAGTTCAGAACTGGGGTCCTGCATCGAGAAGGCCAGGCCTTACTATGAGGCACGAAGAAAAGCAAAAGAGGTGGACAGACACTCATCTTTAGTTTAGCATTGAGAAAAACTGTCATAATTTATAACTATTATTATTATTAATTTAAACCGGTAAAAGCGTTATTTAGTTGTGTTTTATGCCAAAACATCATATTGTATTTTTGCCAGTTTTTCTAAGGCAACTATCACAACCTTCACCTGATGAAATCCTATTGTCTCTTAAACGCATTATGATTAGTTTCATCCATCTTAGGCCCAGCAGGAGACCCAGAAAGCAGCGCTCAGCTTTGAGAGAGCAGTGTCCATGCACTTGGCTGCTCGAGAGATGGTCCACGTGGCTGAACAGGGCCTCACTGCAGTCAAGACGCTGGATCCAACCTGGCAAGAGATGTTGAATCATGCTACCTCAAAGGTTTGCCAATTTTCTCTCCAGCATATCTTATCAAGTTGTATCAAGCAGTTAAATATCTCTGACTTTGAACCTTGAGCATGTTTTCTTGGACCTTCATTACATGATTGAATCATGCAGCAGATTTTTAAAAAAGTTTATTTATTAATTTTTTTAAAAGACGTCTCTTATGCTCACCATGGTACAGTAAAAACAGTTAAATTGTGAAAGATTTTACAATTTAAAATAACTGGTTCTAAATGGACAATTCTAATATGCTGATTTTCTTAATATTTTTGTGTTCAAAAGAACAGCATTTATTTTAAAGGGGTCATATGATGCTTTTTAAAAGATCATTATTTTGTGTATTTGGTGTAACGGAATATGTTGACATGCTTTAATGTTAAAAAAACACATTATTTTTCAAATACTGTACATTATTGTAGGTCCTCTATGCCCCGCCTCTCTCAAACGCTTTGTTTTCTACAAAGTCCCCCCTTCCGACAAGCGCAGTCTGGCAAAATGGCAATACAATATTCAAAATGGCAACGCAATATTCAAAATGGCATTATATTTCTGTATTTAAATTTACATTTTCCATTACCCATACGTGCAAAGATTGGTGCAAAAGTAAAATGAAAATGAAATTATATAATTTACATTTGCCATTTCCAACAGTAGTCTTAATATGCAAATTGCAGGCACATTTGAACGCTTTATAAGTTGCGAAATGAAAATGAAAATGTATAACACAAATTGATTAGATATGTGTAACATGTTCAATCAGAAATGGTAGCAAAATGATCATTTAAATGCTATTTGTCCTAAATGCATTTAGACTAACAGTTAGAACACTTAGGATTGCATTTTCATCATGATGCCGTGGGATGTGTGTAGCAAATTTCAATTTGAAAATGCATTCCGAGGTGACCACGCCCACCCTCCGTCAATCATTGCTTCTAGGCAGGGATTGGCGGAAGCGTGTTACGTCTGGATCCTATCTGAACGTCTTGAGCTTTGAGCGTCTTGCACTGCGGGTGACCTACGTGACGCCAGCGTCTTGAAATTAGCTGGTTTTTAAACATTTAAGGAGCCACGCTGCTGTGTAAAGACTATAAATGGACATTACAAGCATTACAATAATTATATTTTATACCTAAAATAATACTCAACCATTTCCTGCATGGGCGTGGTCACCTCGGAATGCATTTTCAAATTGAATTTTGCTACACACATCCCACGGCATCATGATGAAAATGCAATCCTAAGTGTTCTAACTGTTAGTCTAAATGCATTTAGGACAAATAGCATTTAAATGATCATTTTGCTACCATTTCTGCTTGACATGTTACACATATCAAATCAATTTGTGTTTCAATACATTTTCATTTTCATTTCGCAACTTACAAAGCATTCAAATGTGCATGCAATTTACATATTAAGACTACTGTTGCAATGACATTCTAGAGGTATGTTGAGCTGTTGTTACATTTGCCTAGTGTTGGTGTATGAAAAATATGGATACTTGCTAAAATGTAAGGAATAGGTTAACCAAAAATGAAAATCCTGTCATCATTTACACACCCTCAAGTCATTCCAAAATCCATGTCATGTTCCAGCAAAGATGTATAAAGCAAATCATGTTCCATAGAATGAACATGAATGCAGACAGACATTGCCGAGCATGCCTGGAGCTGATCCGTGCTGGTCAGTGAGGAAATACATCAACTTCGCGCTGTGGATCGCTGGATCGCTTTCACTCTAGCTGCCGGCCTCCGCTCACTCAAGCCACCGGCTCTTTGCTCTGAAAATCAGGGTCCCTGCAGGTTCTTAAAAAATATTAAATTCAGTTTGATCGTTTTAAGTTTAAATTTGATTATCTTAAATGGTGTAAGAAAATCTTAATGATCCTTTTAAAAGGTCTTAAATTGAGGGACAGAAAAACAGCAATTGTGATACTGCCTAATGTGTTTATTACACTTCAAAAGGCCATGATTACATTAAAGGGGTCATATGATGCGATTTAAATTTTTCCTTTCTCTTTGGAGTGTTACAAGCTCTTGGTGCATAAAGTAACGCCGCCCAAATGTTCACGCAAAGAAAGAAGGCATAACTTTTATTCTCGCTGTAATATTGTTGTTGCCGTGTGTTTCGTTGTGAAAGCGAAACTACTTTGTTTGGCCTTCCAAAAGAGGATGATATCCGCTTCGTCATGCCTGGAGCTGATCCGTGCTGGTCAGTGAGGAAATATATCAACTTCGCGCGGTGGATCGCTGGATCGCTTTCACTCTAGCTGCCGGCCTCCGCTCACTCAAGCCACCGGCTCTTTTGGAAGGACACGACTCAGAGCAGTTCACAATCTATGAATACCATGCAATATTTTATCTCCCTCAACTTTTTGAATGAGCAACTGGAAGTAAGTTTCAGGCCTGTTTATATATATATATATATATATATAAATGTTTTGCATTATGCATGTCTTTTTTTCCCCGGATATTATTGGTATTTTGCATACACAATAAGCTATATCTGGCTATTAATTCAATGTAAACTCTTGTGGCTTCTCTCTCGTCACAGGAAGGAATATAATATGATTAATTAGTACAAAAACCAATTTCAGTATATATGAATATATTGAATAAAACATGTCTTGAGTATTTTAAACTTAAAGTTACCATGTTTTGTAGTTGAATGTGTGACCCAGAAGTCAAATACAGTTTGAGTTTTTAGCAAAAATAAATTGTAAAAACCTATAATTTAGCCAGAAAGTTTTCTCACCATGAAAATAGCTGCAGAAGCTGGCATGGTGTTAAAAACAAACAATGCGTGACCCATCCGGTTTAAGCAAAAGAATCAGCAATTCATAATTTATTTTGAGATAGAGTATAGGAATGTTCTGTGTGGACATGTGTATTAATTTTATTTACTGACTCTAAAAATTCTGCATTTACCCTAGAAAATGACAGAAACAACGCAGTATTAAAGTACCATAGAAGTAATCCATATAATTGTTGTGCTATATTCCAAATCTTCTGAATCCCTAAAAAAACTTTTTTAGATGAACAGACTAACTTTTGTTTAACAAATTTGAATTATTCACTGAAAATATTGCCTTCTACTGCAGCTCAACATGAAGGTGAGTAAATTGACACATTTATTTTGAATTACAGTTAAAATGTGTGAGCTGAGCATGTTCAAAACATGTTTTTGCAGGAGCACAAGTCGAAAATTTTACAATTAGAGGAGCGCATTTCCAAAGCCAAGTTAAATTATTCCAGCACTCTGCGCCACCTGGAGCAAATCAGCGAGGAGATTCATGCCCAGAGGGAGCAGGACCAAACAAAGGATGGACCAATCAAAACGTGCAGTGGGCGGAGCCCTCCTGTAGGAGCAGAGACAATCAACAGCACAGGTACCGAAGGCGGAGCCTGCGGAGGCTACCTGAGACCAAACGATTGGGTGGCTGGAAAAGAGGACGTGGCTAATACCAGAGAGTGGGTGGAGACACATCAGAACTCCAGGTGGGTGGACATGGGAAGAGCAGAGGTGACACGATCTGGTTCAGACTCTCTTTCCTTCGTCAGCCTCCAGACCATCATCTCTGATCTTGAAAAGTGTGACTCAGTTGAACACCTGGGCCGCCTCAGCAGTGACATCAGTCTCTCAGGGGAAGAAGGGGAGAGAGACGGGATGGAGAATGATAAAAAGCTAGTGAGGCAAATAAACGCAGACATTTCAGAGTTCCTCAAACAACACATAAGAAGTGTCAGTTTATGAGTGCGTCCATGAATAATGCTTTTTCTAAGTTTTCCTTAGGCTGGCTGCACACCCGATTTGCATCCCTGAACGATCGGGGGGGTGTGGCCTGATTCGCGGCTTGTCGCAAACAATTTTTTGTCCAAAAAATCCTCTATTGTGTGGTGTCATTATGATTATTTATCTGCTCCCGATCGAGACGGAGTGTCCCCAAACTCAAATCGTAAATATCAAACATGTTTGATATTTACGACTCTTGATCTGGCTGCCTCTGACGTGATACCCGCGATAGCTAATGAGAGCGAGCAAGCGTCACCTACCGGATGTTGTGTGCTTCTATAGCTGAAATTGGCAGCCACAAACATGCCATGAAAGCAAAGAACATCACTCATATTCTTTTTTTATACAATGTTTTTCACAGTGAAACCGAACGCGCGCCTCTATTTGTTTTTCTTCTCTAGTCACGTTTGATCTCGCGAGTGTCCGTGAGATCACGTGTAACTGTGAAATCGTTCCTACAATCATCGAGTGTGTGGAATCGTCTAGTGTGTGCGTTCAGAGGATAATAAGGCTAAAAATCATGTCTGTGGTCTCCCATGGTTTTAAAATAGTTTAAGATTTGAAAATCCTCTAGTGTGCGGCCAGCCTTACATGATTATTGAGCTTGATTCTTGACTGACAGAGCAAGTCTTAATTTTTATTTATTGTTAAGCTTTTTATCAGTACTTGAAAAGGAGAAAGACCAAAAGAAAATTCTTAATATATATATTTTTTCTTAATTATTTTTTATTATTATTTTTGAGAGAGAGTGAAGGTTTGGTATCTCAAATCAAATGGTAAAAGACTGACAATATTTGTAATGGTAGCAACCCTGCAATTTGATTAACTTAATCATAAATAATACAATATATTTCTTCATCCTGACAAGCACCTAATGTTTTTCTATGCGAATGTATAAAACTGTGTCTTTATAAACACACTCTTATTATTATAATCTCTATAGCTGACATGATAAAATAAGGCCGTTTTGCTCTCTGCTCTCTCTCTTACTTGAATCAAACTATTTGAATGTAAAATGCCTTTAAAATTAGGTAAAATTATTTTCATTTTAATGTTACTCCCATGCTGATTTTGAAATAGTGGTTCACAAAAAGTGATTTGTGCCCAAGTGACAAATGGCATGCATGAGGCTTGCTTTATATTCATCTCATTTGCATTAGTGCACTCTGGCCTTTTCATCAGAAGAAACATTCATTGCGACCGAAATACAGATTTTGTGCATTTGGAGATGGAGAATGATAAAAAGCTAGTGAGGCAAATAAACGCAGACATTTCAGAGTTCCTCAAACAACACATAAGAAGTGTCAGTTTATGAGTGCGTCCATGAATAATGCTTTTTCTAAGTTTTCCTTAGGCTGGCTGCACACCCGATTTGCATCCCTGAACGATCGGGGGGGTGTGGCCTGATTCGCGGCTTGTCGCAAACAATTTTTTGTCCAAAAAATCCTCTATTGTGTGGTGTCATTATGATTATTTATCTGCTCCCGATCGAGACGGAGTGTCCCCAAACTCAAATCGTAAATATCAAACATGTTTGATATTTACGACTCTTGATCTGGCTGCCTCTGACGTGATACCCGCGATAGCTAATGAGAGCGAGCAAGCGTCACCTACCGGATGTTGTGTGCTTCTATAGCTGAAATTGGCAGCCACAAACATGCCATGAAAGCAAAGAACATCACTCATATTCTTTTTTTATACAATGTTTTTCACAGTGAAACCGAACGCGCGCCTCTATTTGTTTTTCTTCTCTAGTCACGTTTGATCTCGCGAGTGTCCGTGAGATCACGTGTAACTGTGAAATCGTTCCTACAATCATCGAGTGTGTGGAATCGTCTAGTGTGTGCGTTCAGAGGATAATAAGGCTAAAAATCATGTCTGTGGTCTCCCATGGTTTTAAAATAGTTTAAGATTTGAAAATCCTCTAGTGTGCGGCCAGCCTTACATGATTATTGAGCTTGATTCTTGACTGACAGAGCAAGTCTTAATTTTTATTTATTGTTAAGCTTTTTATCAGTACTTGAAAAGGAGAAAGACCAAAAGAAAATTCTTAATATATATATTTTTTCTTAATTATTTTTTATTATTATTTTTGAGAGAGAGTGAAGGTTTGGTATCTCAAATCAAATGGTAAAAGACTGACAATATTTGTAATGGTAGCAACCCTGCAATTTGATTAACTTAATCATAAATAATACAATATATTTCTTCATCCTGACAAGCACCTAATGTTTTTCTATGCGAATGTATAAAACTGTGTCTTTATAAACACACTCTTATTATTATAATCTCTATAGCTGACATGATAAAATAAGGCCGTTTTGCTCTCTGCTCTCTCTCTTACTTGAATCAAACTATTTGAATGTAAAATGCCTTTAAAATTAGGTAAAATTATTTTCATTTTAATGTTACTCCCATGCTGATTTTGAAATAGTGGTTCACAAAAAGTGATTTGTGCCCAAGTGACAAATGGCATGCATGAGGCTTGCTTTATATTCATCTCATTTGCATTAGTGCACTCTGGCCTTTTCATCAGAAGAAACATTCATTGCGACCGAAATACAGATTTTGTGCATTTGGAGAGATGAAGTGTTGATGAAGGGTTTATTTTCAGTGCAGGGTTTCTAAAAAACCTGCAGCTAAACATTTCGTGTTATGCTGTTTATGACAATCACTTCTCGATGTTACAGAATTTTATTTTCATTTAATGAATTTTCAGGCGTCTATGAATGCTATTTTTTTTTCCTCATTATTTGATAGTCTGTTCATTCAGTGTGCTTTATACATCTTTGGTAACCCTCAGTGTGAGCACTGGATGTTGATATTATTGTCTTTAATAGTGTTGTGTATGAAGATGTGCACAGTGGTGACATTTGCAAAATATGATGGAACAATAAATATGTATTGTGTAAATGTATAAATTCTTATTATTTGGGGGATTTTAATGTTTTTTTTAAACAATTTAAGTCGTTAATATATGTATGTAAAAAAAAATATATATATATATATATATTAACATAGCAAAAATAACATTTCATTTGTTTGATTTAATTATTTGGTGTCTCTCTAAACATACAGTATAGGCCAGGGTAACATGTTTAACAATATTTTTCAATCTTTAAGCACTAAAATAAGCACATAAGATCACATGTAAATTATTTATTTATTAAAAACAGAAAAAAATCAAATGACCAGGGCAAAGGCACTGACCTGTACCTCTGTGTTATCTAGGTGTTGTAAATAATATTCAGAATGTATCTGTCAGCATCAGCAAATGTCGCTCCTGATATTAATAAACCGCCACCATCAAAACAGGTTTAGATCTGCAAGGGCAGAGCACTCTCTCCTCTGATATGAAAGTCAAGCTCCAGCAGATGACTGAAATAAGACACTTTGACTGTAATTTATTCTCTCTGAAGTCATCCCTGCACTCTTTCCCTGGCAACTTGTACCATCCCGTCAGATTTTGCACAGCATCTGCTACCTTCCTGACTCCTGAGATATTTAGATTCTGAAAAAGAACGAGACAAAAATATTTCACATGGTACGGTTGCAAAATTTTCTTCCTTGCCCTGGTCTGTGTCCAATCTGAGTGTAGCCTTTTTCCTTTTTGGATTATTAAAGTTAATAATTTGTTATAGTGATGGCAAACTTGACATTTTCAAGGCTACTTGACATTTCAAGTTCAGTCAACACATTTGTTTACGGTTAAGGTTTTTTTTTTTTTTTTTACAGTGAGCATTGGCTTGAAAATAGACTCTTCGAAAGGATTCATCTCTTCTTAATTATTAAAGAGCAAAGTATAAATAGACGACTATGTCCATAATGAATAGCTTAGAGGAAGAGAAAACAATCGTGGAGGAAGGGAAAACTAATATAAAATGTTAACTAACTATGTGCATATGTGTTTGCACATGCATATTCACTCTGCAAAGCACTCTGTAAACAATGTATTTTAAAGGTGCCCTATAAATAAATACGATTATAATGTATATTCAAATAGAGGGCAAATGTGACTAAGAATAAAATTGTTCTCTACAGGAAAAAATTGTGCTTTTATAGCAAACAGGTGTGGATAAAATTGACACTTAAGATTTTTATTATATATTTATTTAATAAAAAGTATTCAGACCCCCTAAAATTTTTCACTCTTTGTTATATTGCAGCCATTTGCTAAAATCATTTAAGTCAGTAACATTAACACAATAATTCTTTAAAAAAAAGCAAAAATAAAAAAATACGAGGGGAAAAATACAAAATGGAATATATAAAGAGGAAAAATAAATAATTCTCTTGTACACTTGGCACAGAAGATGACTCGTGATGCAAGGATAAAATGACGTCACAAGTAAGTGAGCTTGAGGAGGCAGTGGAAAAAAGAAGGAAGGAGGGAGGATGAGCGCTGTGTAGATAATGTTTCTCTATGTAGCCTGTGATGATCTAAAGCAAAGCAATACAGAGCCTTCTCTAAAAGCCATAAAGCAGTCCGCAAATGTGATGCACGGATTTGCACAATCAAAGCGACATCGCTCTTATATTGAGTGGATGTTATATTTCAACTCTCCGTGAACGGATGTTGTGTTCGTTTCTTGGTCGTTCCTGCTGGAGCTGCACCGGGCCTTTGCTGTGAGTAAATCGCTTTTACGTTTTGTCTTTGCTTTTTTTGCGTTTCGCTTGTGTTCTGCATGTGTTTTATTTGATGTAGTAGCTCGCAGCTGTTTTATCCTGCATGGTTAACAGATGTCGTTTGTTTAACGAAAGCCTGTTTGTTGTAATATGCTTTGCACGGGACATAAAACTTCACAAACACCGCGCTTATGTAGAATAACTCCAGTACGCTGTTGTTCATATGGAAACTTCAGGGAAGCATCTCCACGACAACATTTCTTTTTAGAGATGTTGTATGTATATTAAACAGCAGATAGCGTTATTATAAGAAGAAAGCATCAGTGATGCATCTTTATGGGGGTCCGCTGAAAGTCCTTGTCCATGGTGCTGAAAATGTTCCCCAAACGGGACCGTAACCTCTCAACAAACCATTAGCCGAGCTAATATCACTTACATGGCACTGTATCCGTCTTGTAGAGGTGCATTTCTCGGGTTGATATCTAAAATATAAGTTAACGTCACAATTAGGATAATCAACAAGCAGGATTTATATTTGTGGAACAATGCACAGTGTAATTTATCGTTTTATAGAATAAAATAAAAGGGAATATTTAATGTCAACAGAATTGAATATAAAAATATAGCAGAGAATTTCAATGTGGTTCACGCCAGAGAAATTAAGATTAAAATAGAAGAAGAGTGAATGACTTAAGCACACGTGGAGTTAATCATATTAAACACCATAAAACAGCATGATCGTTTTATAGAATAAAATAAAAGGGAATATTTAATGTCAACAGAATTGAAGATAGAAATATAGCAGAGAATTTCAATGTGGTTCACGCCAGAGAAATTAAGATTAAAATAGAAGAAGAGTGAATGACTTAAGCACACGTGGAGTTAATCATATTAAACACCATAAAACAGCATATTTTTAAGTTTTTATCAGGGAAAAAAAAGAGAACGTTATTTAATATAAATCATAACAACTGTTTAAAAAGTCTCTTAGTGGTGTCATATATAGTTTGGCTCATAGGTTTACAAATTCCTTGCAATATATTTTTTTAATCATTTAAAAAAAAAATGTAAAAAGGAAAATAAGGGGGACTTATTAAATATATTCTATATTTATCAAATATAAAAAAAATTTTCAGGAAGATCTGTCATTATCTGATGAAGATTTGACATATCATACATTCTTAAATTTAGCAAGACAAAAATAATAAATAATGAATTTTTGAACCTATATATATATATACTGTATATGTGTATGTATGTGTATATATATATATATATATATATATATATATATATATATATTTTTTTTTTTGAAGAAGAAGAGTAAATGAACATTCTTAATACAAACTAAAGCAACTGTTTAAAAATAAGAAAAAAGGGATTGCAACATCCATCCACATCCACTCCCTAGAAACCATCTCATTGATGCAGCTGTCACAGTTGTATAAAGTCTTGATGCAGTTTTTACTGCATTTAATATCTAATATATAACAACTGGGACAATTGGGATAATCAAAAAAGCTGAAAATCTATTTGTGCAACAGTGCAATGCAAAGCAATCGTTGTTAGTGCATCATGCAGGTTTGAATTACTGTAATCTGTGAAGTGTTGTGCTCGTCTGCTGTGCCGTTCTGAATCAATGAGGTGGAGTGCTGTAGAGACATGTTTAAAGTTGAACTGATCCCTCTGATCCTCACCTCCCCGAATCATCTCCTGTCGCTCTCTACTGTGAGCCTGGAGAAAATCTTGGTCCCTACAGCCCTACCTCCCTCTCTATCTGTCACTTCCTCTTTCTTTTACTTTATCTATCATCTATATCTGTCTGTCTCTGTCTATCTATCTGTCTATGTATCAAGTAACACTGACCTCTAGGTTCAAGTGTATTCAAAACCAAAGTCAATACTGATGAAAGTGTGCTCTGTTCAATGCTTTGTCCTCCTGAAATGTTTTTGTAAGATGATGTGTGTGATTGTGTGTATGTGTGTGTGTTAGACCCGTGTGCTTATGTTTGTTTTGCATGCTCTTGTTGGACCCACCCTGGATGTGCTTTTCCACTCTTAAGAGTGGTTGAGGGAAAGCTCATAAAATCTTTACAGTGCAGGGACGGCAAACTGCCTCCATGTTGTACGAATCAAACCTTACGACAACCGTGTGTGGTGTAATTAAATCAGACAGCAGGTTATTATTATGTTTAACATATCTAAATGCCAACAAGATCACATCATGCCACAAGCAGCTTAATTGCTTTGAAATGAGCGTGGATTGTGACCTGCTGGAATCAAACATATTATTCATCATCTCTCTTTCTCTCTCTCATTCTTGTTCAGATGCAGTAATGGAGCAGCTATTATTTCTTATAATTTTCTACTTGCTTCCTACTCCCATCTCGTCCATACATAATTCAACGACCGGAGGTAATGTGTGTGTGTGTGGATGGTTTCTGCTCCGTGCATGTTGAATTTAACACCACAGAATGTCTAAAGTGGCCCACCTCTGTTGCTTTGTGAGATTAAAGGGTGTTCTGTTTAGATTCTGTATACTGAGTTTCATGGATTTCAAAGAGCTATCTGCCCTCAGTCCTCATGGGATCATGTTCAGCCGGAACTATAGAAAGAAAAATGGATTGCCATGTCAGTTCTCCCTTTTCATTGTGAAAGCAATATATAGCCTACACAATCTTAATGAATCAAAGCAATTCAATGTCTTGTACAGTTCAGTTCGCAAGTGTACATGCCCCTTGCACGATGTGAAAATGTTTATATATATAATATGTGAGAACTATTTGACATAAAATATGATCATAAATTGCACAAGACAAAAATAATTAGTAGTATTGAATTTGTAAACCAAATGAATGTAAACTTTTGAACACGATTATTTTTAATGTGATTATTTATCTGTGAATCTTTCTGCAGGTTACATAGTTATGCCAATAGTTGGCGAGTGAGTCAATGAATCATTGACTGATTGATTGATACCAGCTTGCAATATTCTTTCTAAAAGGTTACTCAATTTTAACTTATTGTTCATTGAATTGTTATATAAAAGCAACATCACACTCACAGTTGTGCTGTTGCTTTGAACATTTGCTCATTAGATTTGCTTAAATATCTGTTTCTCAGGGCTGTCTGCAATAAATAAATTTTTTTTTTTAAAGCTATCTTTTTTTTTAAGTGCTAAGCATCTTAAAGATTCTCCAAGGGGTATGAACACTGTATTTTGATATGAGACAGTACTAATAAATTCCTTATAATCCATCACTGCATTACAGACGTGCAAGGGGACTCCGATATAAATTTAACTGGAACATCTGTCATTTTTGTTTATTGATGTAAGTTTGTGCATTGTGACTAAGCTGAAAACATTTCATCTCTGTTCGTTTCATCCTCCCCCATCTCTCTTACTCTCTTTCAGGATGTGCAATCATTCGTCCCCCCAGAGACGGAGGGATTCGCTACAGAGGACTGACTCAGGAACAGGTAAATGTCTACGGCAGCACATTAAACTGGCAGTCATAAACATCAGTGTCAGTTCTGATGGGACTATGACCCATAGCAACATCTAATTCAGTCTACAAAACGTCGCTCTTTCTCTCTCTCTGTAGATCCGCAGTGTGCAGATCTTGCCAGTAGACTATGAGATAGAATATATCTGTAGAGGTAGCAGAGTTATTGTGGGGCCCAAGGTCCAAAAGTGCCTCCCCAATGGCACCTGGACTGACATGAACCAGCTCAGCAGATGCTGTAAGTGCCCTTTCTGTCCTATTGTATTGATTAATATCTATACTCGCACCATGTCTACACCGGACGCGAGCGGTGCGGTGCGACGCGACAAAATACAATAAAACCTATTATGCTGTCTACACTGGATGCGGCGCCACAAATTCCCGACAGTAAACTGCTGCTGCTTTCTATTTATGACGTACTGACACAAATTTCAAATGTTTTTTAGCTGTCGCTTTGTCGCGACCAGTGTCGACAGACTTTAGCTGTTGCGTTGCGGCGCGACACGACAATTGTCGCGTCCGGTGTAGACGTGGTGTAATACACGGCTCTGTGGAATTCTGGATTTTGATTGGTCAGTAACAGCATTCTAAGGTCAAATTCTTCATAAATGAACTAAACTGTATAATAATTAGAATTATATTGGAATAATTAACTGTTTCTTTTGTAATATTTCTTCTATAGTTCCACAGTCCTCACACACACACGTTTGTTTTTGTGAATTGTGGGGACATTCCATAGGCGTAATGGTTTTTATACTGTACAAACTGTATGTGCTATTGCCCTACACCTAAACCTACCCCTTACTTGAAACTTTATGCATTTTTACTTTCTCCAACAAAAAAAAAAACTCACTCTGTGTGATTTATAAGCATTTTGAAAAATGGGGACATGGGGTAATGTCCTCATAAGTCACCTTCTCCTTGTAATACCCATGTCATTATACAAATTTGTGTCCTCATATGTCTCACACACACACACACACACACACACACACACACACACACACACACACATCATTAAATGTAATTGTCTGTGTGTTAGTGGCGTTACACTTTAAGGCTGTGTAATTTCAAGTTTTTATAAATGTGCTAAAAGGATGTGAGATGTGCTAAACGTGTTGCTAAAATTCTCAGTATTGGTTTGCTCGCGTTCTTGGATGTCTCTGGAGAACGGGAGGTTGGCGCTGCAGCCCCCTGGACAACCAGTAGAGGGCACAGTTCTTCACTACAGCTGTCATGCTGGCTTCCTATTGGAGGGTTTCAGTATCTCACACTGTACCAAGCTGGGCAAATGGGACTCTCCTAAACCACTCTGTGTCTGTGAGTATGTTTATGATTTAAAGGTCAATCACACAAACACAATGTATTTGTTTCCCTAATATTAATCATTTTAACATTATGTCGCTCTTGTTTTCTTTGGTGCATCATCAGATGACAGTAATTATACAGGTAAGACGTAAAATAATCTAATATGGTTATTTCATTTCTTATGTCAGAGGTCACATTTCCCAAGACTGTGTCCTAGGTCACATCTCATTTCAGAGATCACATTTACAAAGAATTTCCCTAAATGCTGTTATTTTACAGCTCATATCTGTTTATCACTTGACAGTCCACTAAAAACAAGTAGCAGAGTGTAAAATGTGACCCTGGACCACATAAACCACCTTTTTAAATTGAGATTTATACATCTGAAAGATGAATAAATAAGCTTTCCATTGATGTATGGTTTGTTAGGATAGAACAATATTTGGCCGAGATACAACTATTTGAAAATCTGGAATCTGAGGGTGCAAAAAATCTAAATCACTTTAAAGTTGTTCAATGCATATTACTAATCAAAAATTAAGTTTTGATATATTTATGATAGGAAATTTGCTAAATATCTTCATGGAACATGATCTTTACTTAATATCCTAATGATTTTTGGCATAAAAGAAAAATCGATAATTTTGACCCATACAATGTATTTTTGGCTATTGCTACAAATATACCCCAGCGACTTGAGACTGGTTTTGTGCTCCAGGGTCACAAATGAGAATGTAAAAATGTTAATAAGCTATTTTTTAATATAAATATTTATATATTCAAATTGTAGACCACAGTTCCTTCGGTTGAAAATCTAAATTGTAATGCTTAGTTCAACCACAAAGGGGCTGTATTTTACTATCAGTCGTTTGAAAACTGCTCCCTCAATAATTTCTATTATTTTAGTGCTGTGTCTCTCCCTCAGTTAAAATGTATATGAAAGTCTGTGTGTATATAGATATTATACATTATCATGTTCATAAATTCATTTAGTTTTACCATCCAAACCTTTTCTGTTCCTCAGACTATTGCTGATTAAAGCAACACTATGTATCTTTTCAAAATTTGCTAAATGTATATTATGAGCGAGTACATTAGGAATTCATCTTCCAAACTGCGTTTTTGTCTTATTCCGAATCACTACGGTACACTTATAATAAGTACTTATATTTGGACTATTGTAGCCTGGTCGGGTCGTCACCGCTGCGGTGACTATTTAACAGAGAACCAGTATAATATAATATAGTTTGAACAACATTATATAAGCAACTGATATGGGAAAGAGCAGACAATTGTACATAATCAATTGCATGAATGTACAAAGGCATTAACAATTTGTTCAAAAGAATGAGAAACTGCTATTATGATGTGCCTATATGAGGTAGAGGTTGAACAAGTAGTTTTGAGAATTTCAATTATGTTCTGAGAAAGTACCAAGGCGACTGAGAAAAACTGTAAAATGTATATGAATCTGCATGAAAGTGATCCTGTGAGTTTTCACCGTTTTTCTCACCAAATTTATACCTTCGCAGGTTTCTTTTGAATTGGTCATAAAGTGTGGCAAATATGTTTTAAGACCTCATTGAGGGCCATTCTCATTCTTGAAACCATTTGATTGGTCAGAAATCTTGGTAGTGCAGGATGAGTCATCAATCATTTTTTTCTCTTTTCCCAGAAGTGAAAACTTTTGTAAATTTTTATATGTATATATAATGTTTAGTACACTAACATATACAGTAGATGACTTCAAGGCTAACACATTTGGTCTAAAAGCTACAAAACTCTCATTGTGATGTCACAGGGTTTTGAAAAGTACAAATATTCCATGTATATGATGTCATGTAAGCTTCATGCATAATGATAATAAAGAATGAGCAAAATGCTGTTTAAAATGGTTTTAGATACAGTATAGAATAAAGGACATCAAATTCTTGTCAACTTCCCCACTATACAATCTCATTATAATTTTTCAGGCTGCCAGAATCTCTCAGCATTAACACAAGCGCTTCTGCAAGCACGACTGTAGCATCCTCTCATTCATCCGTCCCTCCCTCTTATTGCCTTCCATTCCTCTCAATCCCTCTGTGCTTTCTTTCATTTCCCCTCGTTTCTTTCAGCTCTGCTGATTTAGACTATCAAGCCTCACAAATGCACTCTCTCTCTAGACTCCCTCTGTTAACTCGCAGCGAAAGATCGCCGCCTACTTAGTGCACTCTCAGCAGGCTGAAGATTAACACTCGGCCAGAGTGTATTTCTGTGTGTATTTCTGCTAGTTATGTGTGTATCTCCACACAGTGTGTGTTTAGGTGTGTGTCTGCATAAATTCGAGCCTGTGTGTACGGGGTGGCGATTACATCGCTTTTACTGTGGTTGTTAAATGATAATTCAGCATAAAGGTGACCTTTTGTTTGCCAGCCCTTTATAAACCCCTCTATAGGATGTTGTTGCTTTATGAACAAGAACTGACCTTGTACATAATCACATTCTGTTTTGTAAACCTATTTATATATCACATAAACTAATGGGTAATTATATATCCTCACAGGAGGCTCCGCCGGCCTTTCTTTTATTAAATAACAACTAAAGATCAGGGATAAATAATTAATGACTGGCATATGGAGAGAGTGGATTCAAAGGGAGCTCCAAATGTCACTAGAGCATCTCAGGTCCTGAGGTTCACGGTAGCTCAAGTAATCAACTTCAACTCTACTCTGTTGTTTTAGAGTATTTATTGTGAATAGGAGAATCCAGAGAGTTGTGGGGCAATAAAAGTGATCTACATGATGTGGTGTCAATATTGGCAAGTACTGTATGTTCTGATTCAGTGGAAGTGAAGTGTAAGTGCACCATGAGATCACATGGATAGAATTATTTGATGGATGGATGAATAGAGGAATCTTTCTTGATTTTTTGTTTTTTTTATCATGATGTGAAAATAATATATATATATACAGTGAGTATAGAAAAGAATCACCCCCGTTTAAAGAGCAGGGTTTTTGAAAAATTGGGTTTTTGAAAAATATATTTTTTGCCGTTTGTAATGTATCCTTCAATGTAAACAGTCTGCAAAGTTGTTAATCAAAAAAGTGCATGATAAATAGACATTGTCTCTCAAAAGAAAGAGTCGATTCTGAACCGCCTTAACGAGTTGTCATATTTTCGAATCTTCTGCCTGTTACCTACACTCTTAAAAATAAAGGTGCTTCAAAAGGTTCTTCAAGCGATGCCATAGAAGAACCATTTTTGGTTCCACAAAGAACCATTCAGTCAAAGGTTCTTTAAAGAACCATCTCCTTCTTCCCTTTTTGTAATCTGAAGAACCTTCTTTCGCCACAAAGAACCTTTTGTGAAACAGAAAGGTTCTTCAGATGTTAAAGGTTCTTTATGGAACCATTTAGACAAAAAGGTTCTTCTATGGCATCGTGAAGCACCTTTATTTTTAAGAGTGTATATACGTCACAAGGTAACACATTTGCATAATCCCGGCCTGCCCACGAAATACGAACACTCTGACCTGCCCACAAACACTTCCGCAAGTTAGTGTGTTTACTAGTGATGGGAGAAATTAACCATTTCGAAGCTTCGACTCAATTGAACCAATTGCTTCGCAAAATGTTTCACTGTTTCGAAGTGCTCGAAACACCACACGCTGGTGATGCCTGCTGGTCAAAACTGTGTAAATGCAACAAAACTCAGACCAAAACATGCATAAAAACAGCTTTTACAAACCCAATGAATACGCTTTCTTGAAAGTATAATATATTAAAGGCAATCAAAATAATAAAATACCATTAAAAATGAAGTGTCTGTAAAATCTTTAAAATAATTATTATTAATTTGCAAGGGCTTGTTTTGTTTGTTTTATGGAGAACTTGTCTAAACAGGCCAGTAAGAGACTATTAACTACTACTCATCCTTTTAATTACACAAATGTCTCATTAAAAATGTCTACAAATTGATCAAACTGATCCAAGATCGTATAACCATGGACACTGATGCAGTGGTTCGCCGCTGCGGGGCGATCTCCGTGAACTCGCATGATTCACGGGTTCACAGAGATCGCCCCCCTAAGGCGAACTATGTTATAACAGTTATGACGTATCGAAGCCTCGTTTACTGAAATCACGTGACTTTGGCATTTTTACATGTGCTCCGAACCACTGTTTCGAAACAATTGATTCGCAAAGCTTTAGAAGCGTCATGAAGCAGTGTTTCAAAATCGGCCATCACTAATGTTTACATCAGGTCGAGAAGATGCTGTGTTCTGCGTGGCGAAAGCAAGTTTGTTTTGTTTTCAAATGTAAAGTACCACATATAAAGTTTAAACTTACCACTGAGAAATGTCCTGATCAAGTCGTGCTTGCGATGGAGTTTCCGATTGAGCGACTGCATCAGTATCATCCTCAGACTCGGGCTCGAATTGATAAGGTAATATCGATGCCATTTTTGTAAGTTTATAGCTTCTTTTTTCTTTCTTTTTTTTGTTTACAAGTAACCCACCGGAGTAAAAAATGAATTATGGTAATGGTCGTTTCATTTCCCACACGCATTGTATACAGAAAGACCAATCACAACAGACTTGGCCAGCTGACCAATCAGAGTAGAGTAGGCTTATGGAAGGGAGGGGATTACAGACCTTAACGTCCGCACGAAATTAAAATGTACAAAATTCATTTTGTTAGTGCCCATTGTTAGTCTTGAGGTGAACGATGTACCCGTGCAAGTTAATCCACTGGAAAAAAATAGTTTGTCTTGGTAATCTTTAATCGAAATCTGAACATTTTCTTCCTCTGGAATGGCATTCCTGCTCTGATGACATCAGTTTGACGGCTTGGGCAGAATATGCTTAACCACGCCTCTTCAACCGTTAGTTTGCAGCGAGTGAGAGTTGAGAGGAGGAGCGCAAAAATAAAACCCCGCCCTCATCAATATTCCGTTTCAGTTGGAAATACATCACGATACTAAAACGGAGATTATTTTACTATAGGGAGATGAGAGGGTCTATATTACTTACTATTGGAGAAAGCATAACGGCTAACTTGGATCACATGTCCCTTAATAACCAATTACATTACAGCCTTGACGTCATTGAAATTTAGTCAGAGTTGTGCGACACTCAATCGCCAGATCCCATAGGAATG